GTTCCAGACTCTCGGTAGGTTCCTGACTCTTGGTAGGTTCCTGACTCTCAGTAGGTTCCTGACTCTGTTTCAGTTCCTGACCCTCGGTAGGTTCCTGACCCTCGGTAGGTTCCAGACTCTCGGTAGGTTCCTGACTCTCAGTAGGTTCCTGACTCTGTTTCAGTTCCTGACTCTGTTTCAGTTCCTGACCCTCGGTAGGTTCCAGACTCTCAGTAGGTTCCTGACTCTGTTTCAGTTCCTGACCCTCGGTAGGTTCCAGACTCTCGGTAGGTTCCTGACTCTCGGTAGGTTCCTGACCCTCAGTAGGTACCTGACTCTCGGTAGGTTCCTGACTCTCGGTAGGTTCCTGACTCTCTGTAGGTTCCAGACTCTTGGTAGGTTCATTAGAAACAATAGAAGACTGTTTCTTCAGAGGCTTGCCCCCCCCCCCCCCCCCCACTGGGCTGAATCTGTGTTGGGAACCAGTGTTTTAAAAATATCTCATCAATCACCAGAATAATGAATTAGAAACAGTAGAACATTTCATCAGAACATTGTTGTAGATGTCCATGTGTTTGTGGTTTAACACCTCAGAATATTAAAAAAACTGAAGCATTTTCAGTTTTTATTCCACTGACCTGTAACATGTCTCTGTCCTGTTCACATGTTCATGTGTCTCCATCCTCTTCATGTATTCATGGTAAGTAACCATGTCACATTCAGTGTTTTTTCAGTTTTCTGCGATTATTTAAAGATGCGTCACTCAAACACGTCGTGTTCAGATTGTTTGATTCAGTTTACGTCTGGATCATTATTCTGCAGAAAGTAATGAACATGTTTAGCAATAATTCTCAGACAGACATTAACATTCATTGCATGATTAAATGGTGATTGATTGATAACTAATGGTATTACGACCCAAAGTGAGTGAAGAAAACATCCCCACACCATCACAGATCCACCTGCAGGCTGGACTGTTGATACCAGACAGGTGGGCTCCATGGATCTTAACTGTTGCCATGATTACACCCGGAGTTTTCCAGCCTCTGAATCAGAGACTTGTGTGAACTGATCTCGTTTCAGTTTGAAAACTCTGGTTTTGTGTTTTAGTCTGAACAGAAACTGAGACATTAGTAAACGATGACGCCCACGTTCACGTTCTCTTCTAATGACGCCCACGTTCTCTTCAAATCAGTCACATGACTCGACTACCAACGGTGAACACAAAGCATCGCTATCACTTCCTGTCAGTAACAGTTCCATCTCGTCGTCGCTCAGAAAAAAGAAATCTCTGCTCTTACTTGTCACCATCACTGCTCCTCCTTCAGAGGTTTTTCTTTTTTTTCTGATTTTTTTTTCCAAAAGTTAAACTTTGAAGTTTAATGTTTTTCTTGTTTATTTGTTGGTCAATAATTTATTTTCGTGTTTGAAATGTACGACATGTGTGATCATGTGACTGCTTGCGGCATATTAATAACATCACATCTGTTAGAAATTAAATGTCAGTTGTCTGAATAGTCAAATACTATTTTAGATTGAATGACCTCTAATTAATATAATCATGCAATTATTGATTAGGAATAAAGAATTTAGCTGCTGTGGATTAATGCTAAATTAATTCATCCTCTCAATAAAATCGACCGCCATAATACAAACCAAAGAATCCAGAGTTTCTGTAACTCTTAGAAGAAAATGAAATGTTAATGTAACTCTATTACAACTCTATCACATGTAATGCTGTAAAGTGCCGTAGCGGAGTGAACTGTATCATTGTTTGTGTTTTGTCCACATGTGGCGTCATCAAAACATCCATTGAAATGTTTCATTAAAGTCAAGAGGTTCTGTTTGATCTATTTATGAATTAACTCTTTGTTTCCTCTGACAGTTTAAAAAGGGACCACCGGTTCCTCCACCACCAAAGGTCACACCAACAAAGGAGGTGGCAGAGGAGCAGATTATTGACCTGTTTGGAGGAGAATTTTTACCTGCACCTTCACCATCACAGGTTGGGGTCCTCACAGACTCAGTGTTTGTTAAATCTTTATGATATGTTATGTTCACCTGCTTTTGTTTGGATGTTGTCCACAGCCCAATGAACGACCTGGAGAATCTCTACTTGACCTGGACTTTGATGCTTTTCAGCCTGATGAGAGTGTTTCACCGATACCACAGGTGCTTTCATTAACTCACATGCTACAGAAAGTCGACTAAATCAAAAGCTGTCTGACAATGAAATTTACTGTTGACTGATGTGCCAAATGAAAGAGTTTTTATAGAGTGAAAATCCACACTATACAAACTACAAACATTGATCTGTATAAAATATGTGAGAACCAGCTACAATAAAAATATGTGCTCTTTCAGACTGCTGTACCTTGGGATATGTGGTCGGTGAGTTAGTCCATTTCGGTCATTTTTAATAAGGAATTATTTTTATTCATATTCACAATCATCGTCTTCACCCTATAAATTTACACTCAGATTATTATTGAGGATTAAAAGTGAACTTTACATAAAAAATTACTTCCTCAAAATAAAAGATTAAAGTCAACAGATACATGTAAGATTTTAACATTTGATCATGTTTCTATTTTTTTAAAGGGAAACTCTCAAACTGCTCAGCCTGTAAGTATTCATCGACCCATGATGATGTCACAATGAAAGAGGGAACCTGATCAATCCCTGATGATTTTTTTAATTGTCTATGTGATGAAAACTGTAACATACCAGAAACTGATCTCTTCCAGTCATGACTCTGGGTTCAGATCAGGATCAAACTTTAACCTTTCGTTCGTTGATTTTCCGAGCAGGCTACAGATGGCGGCTTCATCGCTGACTGGTCTGCTGACTTTGGTTCTGTGTCAGCAAATGGAGATACCTCTTCAAGTGCAGAGACCCCTGGTGCCATTGCTGTAGGACCTGACGAGACGCAGGTTGAGGCAGAGGGTGGGGCTCAGGACTGGCACCAGGCAGATGGCTGGCAGGCGGGTGGAGAAACAGCCACACCTCCTCAGGACACTGAGGCAGCCACAGCAACTGAAAACGAGGTTAGAAAGTGGGACTCTCAAATCAACACCAACCTTCATACCACTGCAGTCAGAGGTGATGAGGATGAGACAGGTCAGGCAGATGTTGGGGGGGGCGTATCAGAGCTGGAAGAACGCAGGAAGTCCACCCCAGGACTGATATTTACCAACGAGTTCGGAGAACAGATTGAGGACAGCACAGAGGACAGAGGAGAGAAGTTATCCGGGTCTCCAGACAATTCTGGCTCTGAGTACGAGACTGCTGAGGAGTGGGGGGATGGTGGTCAGGGTGGAGGCTGGGCGAGTGCTGATGATGAACTTACATATGATCACCACCTAGTGTGTGACTCCGACAACATGAAGAGAGATTATTTAATAGAAGACAAGCTCATAGCAGTTCACAGAGACCTATCTGATCCAGGAGGTGCATTTGATTCAGTTCCCTCGGCTGAAACAAAGGGAGGAGGTGCTATTGATCCAGATCATTTTGCTGAAACACAGGAAGGAGGTGCATTTTATTCTGATCCTTTCGGCAAAACACAAGGAGGTGCATTTGATTCTGATCCTTTTGTCGAAACACAGGAAGGAGGTGCGTTTGATTCTGATCCTTTTGCAGAAACACAAGGAGGAGCTGTGTTTGATTCTGATCCTTTTGCTGAAACACAAGGAGGAGGTGTGTTTGATTCTGATCTTTTTGCTGAAACACAAAGAGGAGGTGCGTTTGATTCACTTCCCTCACCTGAAACAAATGGAGGAGGTGCTATTAATCCAGGTCATTTTGCAGAAACACAGGAAGGAGGTGCGTTTGATTCTGATCCTTTTGCTGAAACACAAGGAGGAGGTGTGTTTGATTCTGATCCTTTTGCTGAAACACAAGGAGGAGGTGCGTTTGATTCTGATCCCTTTGTAGAAACACAGGGAGGAGGTGCATTTGATTCAGGTTACTCAATTCAAACACAGGGAAGAGGTGCTTTTGATTCTTATCCTTTTGCTGAAACACAGGGAAGAGGTGCGTTTGATTTAAGTCACTCAATTGAAATACAGGGAAGAGGTGCGTTTGATTCAGATCCTTTTGCAGAAACACAAGGAGGAGGTGCGTTTGATCCAGAGTTCTTGGATAAAACAAAGTGTGGAAACGAGGAGAGTGGATTTGAATTTGATCCATTTGTTGACAAGTCAGGGGGAGGTAGGGTTAAGGTCACTGGGTACGGGAGTGGGTGGGATTCAGACCCTTTTGCCAACAGCTTCCCAGCAGCATCTTCAGGGACTGAGGCTCCCGCCTCCAAAACCACACCCTGGCAGAAAATTAGTGACATCAGAGGCTTCGATTCTTCTGCCGCTCGACCAAACTCAGCGTCCATCTTTGGAGCAGCAGCTGAAGGAATTAAAGGTGTAAACTTTCCCAGAAATCACAAAGAACCAGATCATTCAGACATGTCCGAAGACGAGGCTGCAAACCGGAGATTTGAAAAGTTGTATCAAGAGCTAGATACAGAAAAGGAAGAGGTACATGACTCCTCCATCCTTTAGTGTGGTAGTTTAGCACAGGTTAGAAATCAGTCAAACCCTTGTCCCACCTTCAACCTTCCAACACAAACCAATAGAGTGAAAGTAGTTTTGGTAAAAACCTGGATCCCTCAACTGTTCGCTCGCTTTGTCCTCTCATCCATTTTCATGTAGAAATGTTTTCCCACAAAGCTTCTGATAAAATTTAACAGATTTCCCCAGCTAATTTACCAAGGTCATTTGGTAACATTTATTTTCTACAAACATCAAAATGTTCATTTGACATGAGATGAATAGTTTTTATTTTTACATCTTTAAGTTCAGTTGTCACATTTAATTATGTTTAAGTTTAATGAGATATTTATTTTTTTATCTTCAGTTTCAGTCTGAATTTGAATTAAATTAATTTCAGTTTAACTTCATTATTACAAAGATTTTTTTGGGGTTAGATCAAAGATCAATTAGAAACATATTGTCAATAATGATAATGATAATATCTGTTAATTGTTCTCTGTTCTGGTTCATGTTCGTGTTTTTGGATCTGGCTGTGTCGATGTAATGTTTCTTCCTCTCTGGTTTACTTCCTGCTCCCTGAAGGATTTGTCAAACCCGTCATTCTTTGCTGATTTTGATAAGATGGTGAGTTTTCATTATAAACATTTAATATGAATTCTTTTATTGATGTGTATGAAATGTAACTGAATAATATATAAGTTGACACATTTTGGGTTGAACATTTAATTTAAAACATTAAATTTATTTTAAATGTTTTTGACATGAAGAAATTGACGTGAGGTTTGATTGTTTGAACCTTTTATTTAAATTATTGCTTAAAAGATCAAAGTCACATTCAAAGTCAGGCTTAATGCTGACGCTATCACTCATGCTAACCACCATCTTTTTCTGCGAAAGAACAATGATCACGCTCTTGAAGCCTCAGAGGCTCAAGTTGCTTCCCCATTAGAACTGGCTGAGGAACTGGACAAACCTGCAGCGCCTCCTGCTGGAGACGTGGAGGCACTTTCAACTCCCCCTGCTGGTGAGGAAGATACAGCAGATGTTTCTGGAAGTCCAGAGGAGGAGAAGCCTGCAGTGAGTTCTTCATTATCATCTTCATTATCATCTTCATCATCATTATGATCTTCATCATCTTTATCTTCATCATTATCTTCATCTTCATCTTTATGTTCATCATTATGATCTTCATCATGATCCTCATCATCATTATCAAGATCTTCATCATCATTATCTTCTTGTTCATCATCATATTCATCATCATTATGATCATCTTCATCAAGATCCTTAACATCATCATCATCTTCATCATCATCAAGATCTTTAACATCATAATCGTAATCATCATCATCTTCATCAAGATCTTCAACATTATCTTAATCACGTTCATCATTATCATGATCTTCATCGTCCTCATCATTTTCATCCTCTTTATCATTATCTTCATCATCATTATGATCTTGATCATCTTTATCTTCATTATTATGATCTTCATCATGATCTTTATTATCTATGTCATCATCATCATCAAGATCTTTAACATCATAATCTTCATCATCATCTTCATCATCATCATCAGCATGATTATGATCTTCATTATCACCATCATCATCCTCAGTGTTGTGTTTACTGCAGCTCGGTCACTTGTGTTTTTTGTACCTACACAATGTTTGTGGGTTAATTATGTTTTTCTTAAAGCCGACTGTAGGATCTCCGAGCTCTGACAAGATCAAAGTCCAAGAGGTATCTTTTCTTTTCTCTGCTTTTTATTCTTT